AGTCACCCCCCTCCGCCCCCACCCAATACCCCAAGCCAATGATTCCCGCGGAATAGAAAGGCAAGGAATAGAAGGGCCGACGAGGAGTAAAATGGGAAATTCCAACGGGCATCTTGGCCGTGTGTGTCTAACCCGGTGAACACACACGGGAGACGTGAGTTTGATAGAGTTATTACACACGGCTGCTTCCAGCATTTGTGCGCCTGAATCTATTATCCGCCGGGCAGACGGTTGGGCTAAGCTGGGATTCTGCCGGGACGTCTCATCACCTCTGTGTCACGGGTCAGGTAATTGCAGCAGCCACTGTGTGCTTTTCATTACTAAACTACAAACTTTAAAGGATTCTCTTTTTTTCTTTCCTTCTTCTTCTTCCCTGAGATAGAACGGTGTTGACTTTCGCGGCGATTACGGTGTTATTATTTCTTCCTCTCAAAATGTAATTCTCCAGGCAGCCGTTTGTCCCACAGAGGCAGATGGACAGATATTTTTTTCGTGGTATCACACGTATTGTGTACAAAGTATTTACTGGGCACAATTGTGATTTTCCGCAAAGGAACGGGACTGCATCTGATTGTTTGTTTTTTTTTTGGTGGGGGGGGGGGGTTGTATTCTCAAATGGGACAGGGCGGCACTGCCTCCCCTGCCTTCCCTCACTGCACATCCTCGATTGAGTTGTCCAGGTTATCTTGGTACCATTTTTTTTTACCCGATTACAAAAACATGCCATTTGAACATTATATTCTCAACTCAACTCAACTGTATTTCTCGAGCACTTTCAAACAGCCATCGCTGCATACAAAGTGCTGTACATGGAGCAATTCAACATATACAACAAACAGTAAAGCAAATCGGTAATAAAGATGGTAGAAAGCACCGAACAGCAAAACCAAGAACAAAACTAATATATTATTATAATATTCATTGATACCACTGAAACTCCGGAAGCAAAAACAATCAAATCCTGACTGACTTTTCCTAAAAAAATTAAAAAAAAACATATCGTATCGAGATTTATCTGTCATGTGAGAAGAGGACGCTCATTTTCACGGTACGTACCCTCCGCCACCCTCCACACCGTGCGCCCATCGGGGAGTAGAAATAAGATGCTGGTTATCAGCGAATCCACCTCCCCTGACAACTGTCCAATTATGTATATGACACCGGGCCTTACTGTTTGCACTGCGAGTAATCAATAAAGGATGTGGCTGAGTGCACATAGATTTCGGCAGAACCGAATGCATGAAAATCACTCGGTGGTGAACAAGCCAAGGATGTCGGAAGGGGGGCGGGGTGGGGCTGATTAGGGAGCGGAGGGCCAAGTTTGATGGGGGTCTCAAATGGAAAGGGTGACAGGTGGAAGTGGGGATGAAAAAAGGTGGTTTCATGAATAAATGTAAACACAGACCCATGCAATTACCGCAGACGGTAACCTCCTTGACGGTGCCTTTTTCAAATGAAAACACGCAGGGTACTGGGGCGTTTAATTGTATATTTATATACACACACCTCACAGCCTGTTGAATGCAAGAAAAAAAAATCCCACAGCTGGAAAATGGGATTGGGTTAAAAAAAAAAAAAAAAAAAAAAGCCGGCGTTTGGGTTATTGATTTGCCAGATCATCACACGGATTGTTGCCTTGCGGAATAACTTCCAAGATGATCCACTCTTAAAACGGTGGCATATTTAAAATTTCACTTCTTCCCATTTTGGAACAGTTGATCACAATTTTCATGGAATAGCAAGTGATCATATACACAGATACACACACACACACACACACACACACACACACACACACACACACACACACACACACACACAAAAACCCAACTCTACAGTCAAAAAGCTGTTTTACGCTCGAGTACATTGAACTTTTATGATTAGGCGTTATAACGAATTAAAAATTGTTGCCCGAAAAAGAAAGCAAAAGAGAGTCCCATTCCCTCGGCCGTGTGACGTCACAGCACCGAAACGGCACGCCGGCTGAATTTATAGCCACACTTGATGTTCTCATCTGCATGCATAATATGCCGGCGTTCCCACTGATCCACTGCAGAAGAGGCAGGTCAAAAGCACGCTACAGTTATATCTTTTCTATTACCCAGGTTAATCAATAATTCATGGGTCACAATAGCAGGCGGTGCGAGCTGGGGGAGGGAAGTAAGAGGGGGCGGTGGGCAGTAGCGGGTGGGAGGAAAGGGGGTGCTCTCCCAAAACGGGAAGAGGAAATCAAAGCATCTCTCATCTGTCGCAGAATGTCGGCCATATTCGCAAACGTGACGATAGGTTGCCATTTTCCCCTCCTCGGTCGGTCGCTATGTCGTGCTTTTTGAGCATTCATCACGCCGGGGGTAAAGCCTTAATGGCACGGGACAGGCGGGCGGCCATTATGGGCTCCTCGCGTTTCTCACATAAAAAACACTTACGGCCCACGAGATGTTAGCGCACCGTGCATGAAGAAAGCTTTTTGATAGCGTGCTAATCTGCGCCATTACTGTGCGGGGTGATTTACAATCACTTAAAAGGCAGGCGCGCACGCGCACACACGGACGCACTCGCTGGCTGGCAGGGCGGATAATAAAGATGCTGGCACATGTGGATCATTAGAGAGCTTAGAGTGAGTGTGTGTCTGTGTGTAGGGACTGGATGCGGTGGCATTTGGCTTAATTAGTAGGCAATTTTGACATGAAAGAGACAAAGAGAAGACAACGAGGGGACAGCATGTGCTTGTTCAAAAAAAATTAAATGAAAATAAAAAGCGACCAGTGAGTGCACCTGCAGTAGAAAATGTAAGGATATATGTGGAAATATATCTACTCTAGATAGATAGATAGATAGATAATTAGCTAGGTACCTAGATAGCTAGATAATTAGCTAGCTCGCTAGCTAGATAGCTATATAGATAGATAGATAATTAGCTAGGTAGCTAGCTAATTAGCTATATAGATAGATAGATAGATAATTAGCTAGGTAGCTAGCTAGATAGATTGTCAATGTCATTGACTATATATTTATAGTCTATACTATAGAGTATACATAAGAAAAAAAAAAGAAATCCATCAAATTGTGGCATAGGATGTTTCGGCCTGCTAAAGAATGAATCGAACTGTTCCACTTGAACTCAGCTCAAACTTCATTTTGAAAATATATCGAGATACGTATGAAATCTTTGAGAGATCTTTGCAGGAAATGCTTCATTGACAGTACTGTCAGGGTCGATCATATGTATGAAAAATTACTACAAGAAACTAATTGTTTTACCTCCCTCGACTGAGTCCTACTATGTCGAATCAATCCCATTCAACTGACCCGAATTAAATCACTGCACTTTAAAATGGAAGCATCCTTGAATCGTATCGCAACCCCATGTATCGAGGTACATATCAAATCGCCTTTGTATTTGGGGTGTAAGAAAAAAAAAAAAACTATGTTAAGTGGAAAATCAATTTCAATTTAACCAAACCCAATCAAATCTTTAACATTTTGTAATGTACTGTCACAGGTGACATAGTTTTTGTGACGTTTTGATTTGGTGGTGTGCCGTGACATTTTTGTAATGTCAGAATTTGAATGTAACGAATGTGAGCCTTGGCTCAATAAATGCTGATCAAAAGACCTGAGGTCAAGGGACGATGCTGTTAGATGGATAATATTCAAGGATGCTCCATAGGGTTGAGGTCTGGCGACGATTTCGCCAACACCATCACTTTTTGTCCTTTCATAGCAGATAATGCCCCAATGGTGGCGGTGTGGCGCAAACACGATGGTGCATCCACAACTTCAACAGCCCACCCGAGCAGTGATTTCGTTGCCGTGTTTGACACTCCCCGCGAGCAGGCGTCGTGCCACCCGGCGTTACACCTCGTTTCTTTCTCTCGTCGCTTCCCCAACGTGTTAAGCCGAGGGAAATTGCATCAATATTTCATCGCGGGGCCGCACCGATTCGACGGGCGAGGCGATAAACAGTCGGTCATTAATAATGCAGCGCGGTGACACTGACCTTATTTTGCGCCTTTCAACCTGCCGTCGCTGATATTTGGGGATGCGCGCCGCCCTCGAGTACACGCAAGAGGCGGAGCTCTTTTGTTCAAAGTCTGCGAAGGAGAAGAAGAAGGGGGTGGGTTGAATAAAAAAAAAAAAAAAACCCACAAACTTCCTGTTTGACAGAGGTTATGTTGCATTAACTGAACGCGGAAGCATATCTTCATTTTCTCAGAAATGCCGCTCGACAAGTGCCGCTGACAGGCGAGCACATGCCTCCGAGGTAAAGCGGGAGAAGCTTTGACAGGAAACTTGAAAAAAAATAAGACAAGGCGCTCTGCTTCAGGGATGCTGCTTCTGAAGCAAAAACACCTGGTCCAAGTTTAGGCCACATGTGTATAGAAAACCATCAAATACAATTACTGAAGGGAAAAAAAACAAAATCTCATTTTAAAATCAAAATCATCTTTGTGTTGCTTGTACCAGTATCAGCACAATTACAGAATAACGAGGCAAGATCAAGGACGTTTCGAAAATACGAGCACTTGGTACGAGAGTCGTGAGCGAGGTTGAATAGTCCGACAGCCAGATGTCGGCCTGGCAGAATTTATAAAGGCAGCTGGATCACGAGGATGATTAGCGACAGGTGAGGCTCTGGAGGAAACGCCCTCCGCTCCCACCGGATATTGAAAAAACAAACATGACAGGCTCGTGACATCCGGTTTATTAACTGTCCGGTTTATGAGCCATTTTACGAGTTTACAGTCATTGATTGACTGAAGAAAATTTTCGAGCAAACCTACTGTTAATTCATCATCGTCAATTTTGTTTTCACCCCATTTCTATATTGCGCAGAAGTGAACCCCGATGTCCCACTGTTCATCTTTTCATGGGACACCACTAAAGGAAAGGCCAGCGTATGGTTTGTACAACAGCGGGAATTCGTTCCAAAACAACTCAAGACACCGCAATTAAGAGCTAATATGTGAAAATACATTTTTCCTCGCTGGTGTCATGTGGTGTGTTTGTTTAACAAGATCTCAGGTGTGAACGTGAAGCTAGTGTGTTAAATTTGGTGGCACTGCTGTCACATTCGTACATACTCGAAGTTGAAAATGTTTGAAACCAAGGAAAACAATGGCACATAACGTACAGTACCAGTCACTCCATTTTAAAACCGCAGATATTAGGAACACATTTAAGACCAGACTCCCGTGAATCGCGCTCTTTAATCCCGTCTAATCCCCGCCCAGGACGGGCTCTCTGCAGATGTTCCCGTCCCGTCGTCTATCCATAATTGATGCAACAGGGAGGTCGCGTGTACCGGCCGCTAATAAATGCTTATTGACCAAACAAGCCAGCGTGGCAGCGAGGCGAGGAGTGAGGAGGCGTTACGAGGAGGGAGGGAGGGAGGAAGAGGCGGGGATAAGGAGGACTGCGAGGTGAGCGTCGGAGTGCGCCGAGTGCACTGGGCCAGCTGTCCGCTCTCCTTTCATCTGCAGGCTTCACGTCAGATACAATCTACCTCGCTGTCAAGCATCGGCAAACATCTCGCATCCCCTCCTCCCCCCTCCTCTCCTGTTCCCTCCTCTATCCCCGTAGCCTACCACCAAGCCCCCCCCTCTCTCCTTACCTTCCGTACCCCGAACCGCCTCCCCTCCTTCCCCCACACACCTCTCCATCCATCTCTCTGGTGGCCTTGCTCATTCTCCTTCAGCTGCCTCCTCCGACTTCAATGTCTCTCTGTTCACGCCACAAAAAAAAAAATAACACGATATTTTCGATGACATCGCATTGGATTGTGTTGGCGGTGCTTGCCTGATTTACCGAGTTGATTTTGTTCGATCTGTCTATCTGTCTGTCAGTTAAGGGGTGCACATCTCTTCTATAAAAGACGATTCGAGGCGTATCTCGATACAGGGCGTGGGATACGATTCAAGGACGGTTCATTTTAATGTGAAACGATTTGATTTGTTTCGATTCAGTGGGGCTTTATGTATCTCACGATGCTAAATAATAATATAAAAATGTCTTTTATATATTTCTTCTGCTTATACCAAACCTGACTTATAAATACAGTTTATATTTTACTACTTTATTTTGAAACATCAACAGAATAGTTAGAAATTTTACAATTGAAGAAAAAAAAAACTACAAAAAAATAACCATCTCTCTAAATGACAATGCCTAATCATAAGTAGAAATTCTAAAAAGTAGAAGTAATGTACTTAATTTTAGACCTAACTTTTAATTGTCAACACAAGCTATTGATGTCACACACGTATCCTCCACAAGTGGCTCATTTCTAAGAATGAGCTCGGGGAAAAAGGCAAAGAGGACAACATGCTTCTTTTTTTAGTCTTGGCAAAGAAAAAAAGAGAGAGACAGGCGTTTTTAGACACAAAAAAACCCTAAAACACACACACACACACACACACACACACACACACACACACACACACACACACAAATCTGGAAGTGAGCTAGTTGATGGAGTCGCCTTCGCCGCCGCTTAATTACCGCGCGCCGTCATGAATATTTCAGGCATATGCTTTCCCACTTTGTCATTGGAGTTCGGAACTAAGAGAAACAAGTTCATATGCATATTAATAAGGGGTGAGGAGGGGGAGGCGAAGAGAGGGAGGAGGGAGGGTGACAGCAGGAGGAAATGGCACTGGTTCCCCGGCAGCTGCTCTTTTTAGATCCCCCCTCAGAGGGAAGTGCCCGAGGAGGGCCTCCACCACAAAGGGGATAAAGGAGATGAGGGCTCTTGATGGAAAAGAGGCAAACAACCACTGGGACCCCCCCAACCCCACTCCAAAATCCCCCCTCACCCCTCCCAGCACCCTCCATTGCACCGTCCTCTTCCCACCCCCCCCACTTCACACTAGCCCATGCACCGCACTTAGCCGAGCCTCCGAGGAGTCGTGGCGGGGCCCTCGTTAGCATCCCCCCGTCACCCACCCGCTAAAGCCGAGCTAATGGGCGGCGCTCGGATGACAGACTGAATGCGATGAAGGCAAGGAGGGCGGGGGCATCGGAGCCCTCTGCCGGTGGAAGCCGGGACACGCCTTGAAGACGAACATTACCGTCAGCCTTCCTTTATTGTTTCATTACTGTTTCCTGAGACTTTTTTTGGGGGGTCGGGGGGGGGGTTTATTAGTCGATTAATCGTCGAATTCTAAAACCCAACAAGAAGAACACTGATGTTCCCTGAGATACAATATGGCGTCGAATTCATACTTTTTTTGCTTTGGCCTCAGCCAAGGTGAGCTTTTCAGGGAATTAACAGAGGAAAGCCCCCCCCCCGCCCCCCACCTCCCTTTACGACAAATAAATATCGGCTAATAATAAAACAAATAGCTGCCCGGTGGGCTCGTGGTTAGCGCATCGACCTCACAGTGCAGAGGTACCGGGTTCGATTTCAGCTCCGGCCTTCCTGTGTGGAGTTTGCATGTTCTCTTCGTGCCTGCGTGGGTTTTCTCCGGGTAATCCGGTTTCCTCCCACATTCCAAAAACATGTGTGGCAGGCTGATTGAATGCTCTGAATTATCCCGCGGTGTGATCGTGAGCGCGGATGGTTGTTTGTCTCTGTGTACCCTGTGATTGGCTGGCAACCGGTTCAGGGTGTCCCCCGCGTGCTGCCGAAAGACAGCTGGGATAGACTCAAGCACCCCCCGCGACCATTGTGAAGACAAAGTGGATTGGATAATGGATGAATAAAACAAATAATCGGAAGGACCCTTGAAAAAAAAAAACTTTCATGGGCTATCTCTGGTCATAACATGATTTAGGACCCCAAAAACCTTTCATGCACAAATAATGACAACCTGTAAGCTAATCAGCTGTCCGCTGAAGTAACCGCTGTCCCCGAAAGGGTTAAAATGCTAATTTGGTCAAGTTGCACAAATGATGGATTAGCTCTGCGTTTGGGGTATTCGCCAAACCTTAGTTGCAACTCTTCAAAATGGATGTCAAGACACTTCCCCCCACCTTGATCACGAGCATAATGACAGTTGAGTGGCGGGACACCAAACGGTCTAATTGAATTCATGGGCCTTTAAAAGCCATCATTTAGCAGGCAGTGGAGCGGAATGATATGCTTTATTTAACATATGTAAACAAAGAGCATTATACGCCATTGCGCCCGTTTAATGAAGCGGCGCGTGTTTCTCATTGAGGCTGTCCTTTTGCCAACCCCGCACAAATAAAAGACTCCCTTCGCACTCCTTTAGTGCTTTGCACAGTGTAAAAAAAAAAAAAAAAAAAAGTGTCCTGTCCTGAGCTAATTACCACGTTTTCACCGCGCTCGATTAATTTCACCTCTGTCACATCTTTTTGTGCGACTTTTAGCAGCGGGTTCAAGCGGCGCGCTAATTAGTTTGACCTTAGCCGCCGCGATTAGCGCGCCTCCCGCTGGCTGGCGGAGAGAACAAAAGCGCAAACGCCGTTGTGGTCCCTTTAATTGACGATGTCGGGATGATGCGCAACGGCTCATTTGCATAATTTGGAACACAAATAGTACAGATGGACTTGGGTGAGTCATTTTAAACATTTTACAGTAGGTCAAAAAATATATATATAAAAAAAGAGACTTTGGTCAATTTGACGAAATACAATAAAACTGGACTGCTTCTAAAAAACATAACTGACTTATAAAAGCAACTAAAATGAACAAAATTGCTGAGTTTTTGTGTTTGTCAATGAACTTCATTCATGAGCTGTCAGGTTTCGTTTCGGTATTATTGTACGGATGTTCGAGAATTGTATTTTACTTGACTACATTCGATACTGATTGCAACTTTTTTTTCCCCGTGCACTTGACAAATTCTTATATAAAAAAACTCAAACTAAAATTTAAAAACACAATTGAAACCAAACATTTTCCAAAAACATACAAATGAATACATCCATTCTAAAAACATTTTTTATTTCATCCATCCATTTTCTGATCCGCTTCATCCTCACAAGGGTCGCGGGGGCGTGCTGGAGCCTATCCCAGCCGTCTTCGGGCAGTAGGCGGGGGACACCCTGAACCGGTCGCCAGCCAATCGCAGGGCACACACAGACGAACAACCATTCACGATCACAATCACACCTAGGGACAATTTTT